CTCTTTCCTGCCCCTTTGGGAATGGATCCTATAAGCAGAGATTTTCAAAACATTTAAAACTGGTACAGCACAGGCACCCAGCAGTGGAAGGGCTGCACTCTGTCTCTAGAGTAGGTGTGGGCTCGTTTGCAGGTAAGAAGATTCAAGTGCAGAGCCACCAGCAGCTGGCCAGAGGCCACACAGCAGGCACTTGACCAGCAAGGAGTAGGATCAGCTCTGACTTTGTATCCTCTGCCTCCCGCCCTTCTCCAGGGGAGTCCCCGAGGTGGAGCGGGGTCTCTGATGCAGTTGGTCCCCTGGCCAGCAGGGACCTACCTCCATTTTATTCTTCCTCCCTTCAGCCCCATGGAGGATGGGGCAACCCGTTCAGGGTTTCTGGGGAGTCAGCCTGGTTCCTTGGCAGCCAGCGAGGCACCCTGGGACGGGAAATCAGGCCGCCACCCAGATATTATAAACAATCACCGCTGGGCACCAGGTCTGCCAGTTCCCCATTGTCTGCTCAGAATCGCACCAAGAACTGAGGGGCAGACAATGACAATCTTGGAGGAAATTTTTAGTTTCAGGCTGCAGAAGGCCTTGCTCTGCCTTGGGGGGCTGGGCCCCTTCAGTGCCTTAGATCCCACAAGGTACCGCTATTTCTCGAGCTTTTAGAGCCCAGACCCTCCTAAGAGAATGGATTCCGGACCCTCAGGAGGCTGGGGTGGAAAAGAAACGGGTGTGGAGGAAAGGCCAGGTCACCAGCTGTGAGCGAGTCTAGGTCTTAGCTTCCGTGCTGTTAATTCAGGTTCTTTGGGTTTGCAAGCATAGCGGGTATCCATTTCTGTCCCCAGGTAATTTATTTTTTCCATACTTTCTCTATAACACCGTTGCATAATTGTAGAGATAATAGATTCGGAAGCTTGACTGCCTGGGTTCCAATACTACCCTGCCATATCTTAGTTTGGCCCTCTCTCAGGTGCGGTGGGAACATGTGCTCCTCTCCAGGGCGTGGAGGGACACACAGAGCCTCAGGGATGCTCCAGAGTCATTTGACAAGACACGAGACAACATTTCTGCAAAGCATCGTGCCCTTTTCTCAGCTCCACCCAATAAGAAGCATGGGCATGAGTCCCCTCTGCTTTCAGAGTCCCCAAACCTCTGTGGAGTTTCCCATCATCCCTTAGCACTGTCAGCCCAGCCTGGGGACCCAGACCTTCCTCAGTTCTCTTCCCTCCCTGCCTGACTCCCTCTGCTCTCCCAGTCTGGGGATTTGGGGTTAGTTTGTTTACTCACGGGCAGGACGGCCAGGTTTTGCACCTCTCCTTCCAAGACTGCTGCTTCTTAGATTTGAAACTCAAAAGCTAAGAATCTGACTGTCTTGTTCTCTGCATCCTACAGGGTCACCCCTTCTCTGAGGCAGTAGACCTAGGATACCGTGGCTTCTGCCTGAATGGGGAAAGGGTGGCAGCAGGTAGTAGGAAATCATGAAAACGAAAAAGTACTCAGGCTAAAATCTCAAATTATTATCCTTCCATTGACTCTGCCAATAACTTAAGTCAAAACAGAATTTGTTGGAATGATTCTGGGACATCTCACGTGCTTGAGGAAAGAACTGGGTGGACAGGACTGGGTGCCTAGTAGTTTGGGGCTCTTTTTGAGGACAGGCCATTCACACGGCTCAGTTCTCATGACTGTTGGTCTCCAGGCTTCTATTTCCCAGAGAGAGTCTTTGCTTGACTGAGCTTGCGTCAGCTGTCTGACCCTGGGTCCATCAGCTCTGGCCAGGGGACAGGGTCACTGCATTCATTAGTCAAACCAGTTGCTGTAACTAGCCTCTTCAATCAATGACTTATGGCTTAATGACAATGACTTAATACAGACATTTGTATTTTGCTCATGCAGACTTCAGTGCAGGTGTTTCTGGTCATTGCTCCCAGCCAGGCTCCTTTATTCTCGTCTTTTTTTTTTTTTTTTTAATCCAATACGTGTTTATAATTCCTCTACTGTCAGATATTTAGATTGTTTCCATTTTTACTATTATAAGTCATCCGTGGCTAAATACAGTCCTTTTCTCCTCAATGTCCAAAAGCTTAAAACAGTTGATTTCCCTCTTTGCTTCCTGGATCTCTGTCCTTTCCCGTCTTCTGTGACGTTGTATACACCTGCAACATAGACCTTCTCCAAGGTCCTGAACTAGACTCTCTTGCCCCTGCCTTGTCTCAGTCACCCTCCTGGGTGAGAGACAAGTACTTACTCTCTCGAGCTCTTCACTAGGCTCCTTTACTCTTGTGGTTTCGCCATCCTGAGGACCTCAGGACCCTCTGCTGCTGACTTTGGTCAGGATAGAGGGAAGGTAGTATGTGGGAGGTGGCCTTCCTTCCTCTCCCCTTGTTGCTGGACCCTGTGTATCCTTTGGCCCCCAGTTCACATTCTCCTCTCCTGGTCCATTCTGGGCCACTGCAGCCAGCAATGCTTCCTCTCTTCTGATGACCCCTGGGCTCTCACAACCCGAGGTGGGCGGGTAGAGGACCGGTTGTGCCTCATAAGAAGACAGCAGTCTTTTTTAGTTGTTTCTTTGGGGGGCAGTATGTTTGTTTGCTCAGCAGAATGGTAAGTTGTTTGTGCACGGAGTCTTCTCTTGTTTCTTCCCCCAGCTTGCTTGGAATTTTATACATAAAGGTCAAATAGTCTTGGGTGACATGGGTTGGGCAGTGGCCTCGTAAAGTAGCAGGCACTGCCATCATATAGCCCTCGGACAGGTGTCTTTCTCACTCCTGGCCTCAGTCTTCCAATCTATGAAATAGGGCGTCTGCTGGCTTGGAGGACACCTTCCGGTAACTGTTTGCAGAGCCAGCAGGTATATCCTTTGCCAACTGTGAGGTTTTGTGAATTAACAAGGAGGTGTAAAGGCGGGCAGCTGTGGTTCAGGCACCAAGGAGCATGTCTAGGGTGTGAAGAGCTGGGTACAGGCAGAGGAGACCATGAGTGAATTGTTCTCTCTGAAGAACTGGGGCAAAGGTAGACTAGCAGAGTGGTTTGGAAGCAGAAGGGGGCACCCTCGGAGTGGAACCAGAGACCCCAGAGGCCGAGAGCCCAGCAGCTTCCCTGAGAAGGGAGCTGGGGGCAGGGTGGCAGCTGCTCTCAGGCTGGGGAACAAAGTGTACAGTGCCCTTGAGGCCCAAGGCACGCTCCCCTTCCTGTTCAAAAAGCCCCTGGCTGCTGCTGTGAAACCCAGCTCACAGTATGTGCTTATTAAAAGTTAGCTGTTCCTCTTGGAACATGCCCAGGTGGAAAGTCACCTGCGGTTGGCCTTAGAAGTGTTGTATCCAAGTGCTGAGCCTGCCCTGTCAGTTCTGGCTTTAGGTTGGCCTGAACCTGCTTCTTCATATGAATAATGCTGATAAAGTCAAAACAGAGCAAAGCAAAACAAAACCAACCTCCTTTGTTTGTGGCAAGGTTCCTATGAGAATGCTTTGCTCCTAAAGGTAATAGGGGCACATCAGGCATGGTACTTAGTGCCTGATCTCATTAAATACAACAGACCTAGGAGATGGGAAAGAAAAAACTAAAATTGGTTTCAGCAAAATAATATAATAATTGTTGTTGTTGTTGACCCTACGTAACAACAATAACAACAACAACAAAGTATCTCTTGCTTCAGGCAGGGTTTGATCCAGGAGGTCACGCAGTGCCACCTGTGTGATGTCTTCCTTCATGGGCTCCAGACGGCAGCAAGAGAGCTGCCAGAGGCTCCAGTTTTCTGTCTCGGGTTCAAATCTGAAGGGAAGAGAGAGCTTCTCACTTCCCACAGTTAGAAGAAATCTTCTCGGGCAGATTCTTGTGAGCTGCGTTGGGCCACACGCCCAACTCTGAGCCAGTCACTGGCTAAGGAAGGAACGGCTTGATTGGCTAGGCTGAGCCTACGCCAGCCTCTGGAACCAGGTCTGCTCTGCTCCATGGGAATCAATGCCTTGGGGGAAGGGGCTCCCCAAAGGAGATTTGAGGTCTTGTTCCCAAAGGAAGGCGAGTGGACATTGGGCAGCTCTATAGCAAGAGCAAGTGTGAACCTTGGAGGCTGAGCCACTGGCACCGTGCATCTCAAACTGTCCAGTGCAAACAAGTCTTCTGGGGCTTGTGTTAAAAGCCAGTCGCTGATTCAGCAACTGGGGAGTGGAGTAGGCCTCAGTTCCCTTTCTAATTAGCTCCCGGGTGACGCTGCTGGTGTCTGGACCACACCTTGAGTATCACAGCTCTCACCCATAGAGCCAGGCATTGACAAACATCATCTCCCGTGACTCCTACAGCTACCCCGAGAGGTGGGTGTCACCATACCCATTTCATGGAGGGGGAACCTGAGGCTCGGCGAGGAGAGGTAGGACAGGGAAAGGTACAGGCCACAGAAGCTAAGCCCTGGAATTTTGGAGTCAGAGCTGAGATTTCAGGGCTATTAAAGTAGAAAGGAGGCAGAGATAGGACAGCAGTCTGCCTGGGAGGCTGGGTGATGGATGTGGACAGAATCGCTGTGGAATGAGGGCCTTTCTGGAGCTGATTGCCTGAGTCATCAGAGTCCTCAGTCGGCCCCTGGGAACGTCTGCTTTTGTCTCATTCTTTCTTCTTGCAGCCTTAACTATGGGGGAGTTTGCCTGGCATCGGACGCCCAGTTCAGTGACTTCCTGGGCAGCATGGGGCCAGCACAGTTTGTGGGCCGCCAGACCCTGGCCACCACGCCGATGGGTGAGTGTCCCAAGACCTGTTCCAAATGTTGGGGGCGGTCCCCCCAGAAGCCCCGTGTCCCTCCCTCCTTCCCCTCTGCCCTGGCTCCATCTGCTGAGCACCCAGCCTGGAGCCCAGTTCATACCTGCCAGGTGCTCCGCAGAGCCCGGGCGCTTGGTGTGGGAATCGTTCTGGTCTTGTTTGGGGCTGGGAGCAGGGGGAAGGGATCTCATCCGTCAGAGGAGAGGAGGAACTGAGTCCTTGATGGAGGTCCCAGGCCACTTCCCAGTCTCAGCTCTTGGGGCCTGCTGCAGGGGATGTGGAGATCGGCTTGCAGGAGCGGAACGGTCAGCTCGAAGTGGACATCATCCAGGCTCGGGGACTGACGGCCAAGCCAGGCTCCAAGACACTGCCAGGTGTGGAGGCTGCCCTCCCGTCTGCAGGGTGGGGGGTGGAGGTCGGGGGGTTGTCCTGAGGGCTGTCTGGGTCTAGAAGAGAGAAAATTGGGTCCAGCTCTGAGGGATCCCTCAGTCCCAAAGCGAGTGACTCTTGTGTAACTGGTGATTTAGGATTTTTTCTGGAGACCCAGTTGAAATTGTCCACTGACCTTGTCAGCCTTCCCGACCAGACCGAGCTCCTGGGGGCCAGGGACTGTCCTTCCTGTTTATGGTTCTACCCTAGCGCCTGGTAGGGCTCATGGAGTACCGTGGGTGCTCGGCAAACATCTGAGTGAATGGGTCAACCATGAATATATAAGCCCGGGAAGGGTGGGCAAGCCAGGGACTGAGAAAGGGAAAGGGTGAGCAAAGGAAGGGGGAGGCAGTCAGGACCACCCGAGGGGGCCGAGTAGGCCCCAGCTAACCCTGGCTGCACCCCACCACCTACCCCCACCCACCCCTGTTGCCTCTTCTGCAGACCCCCTGGGGGGACTCTGATCCCCAGCAGCGGGTCCCTCTGCTGCACCCTTCGCCCACCATTTGGGGCTCAGGCTAGAACTCATCCTGCTGGCCTCTGTCCCCAGCGGCCTACATCAAAGCCTACCTGCTAGAGAACGGCGTCTGCATTGCCAAGAAGAAGACCAAAGTCGCTCGCAAGTCGCTGGACCCACTGTATAACCAGGTGCTGCTGTTTCCCGAGAGTCCCCAGGGCAAAGTCCTGCAGGTGAGGGGCTCGGGGGTGGGGCGGGGTGCAGTATCAGAGGGAGAAGGAGGCCCTTCTTGGGGGTGGGGGGCTCCCTGCAGGGCCTCATCTGGAGGAAGGAGAGCGCTGTGGTTAGTCTGAGCACCACAACTTGCTGTGCGACTTTGAACAAGTTCCTTTCTGAGCCTCAGCTTCTTTTTTTTTTTTTGCGGTACGCGGGCCTCTCACTGCTGTGGCCTCTCCTGTTGCGGAGCACAGGCTCCGGACGCGCAGGCTCAGCGGCCATGGCTCACGGGCCCAGCCGCTCCGCGGCATGTGGGATCTTCCCGGACCGGGGCACGAACCCGTGTCCCCTGCATCGGCAGGCGGACTCTCAA